TGCTATACAGCGCTGCGCTAGTTTAACGGGCAATTGCGCGGTCATGCAATACGGTACATAAATGAAATTTACATCCTTTTTTTCCCACAAGTTAAGCTTTCTTTGGTATTTGATCGCCTGTGCGTTTTTTATTTTTTGCGCTAAAAAAAAAAAGGCTGACAATTTTGAGGAAAAAAACAATATTTTGGACTTTTTGCTATAAAACATGTCCAGTAAAAAAAAATGTAAAAATCAAATTTAGTCATAAATTTCTGCCAAAATGCATTCTGCGACATGTCTTTGCTAAAAAAAAAAACAATATGTGTAAATTAATTGGTTTACGTGAAAGTTATAGCATTTACAAATGGCGGAAAAGATACTGGGATTTTTAATTTTTTTTTATACTAATAATGGCAGCGATCAGTGACTTATGGCCGTGATCAGCGACTTATGGCGGGACTGCGGCGGACATTCTGACACTGGGGGGGAACTGACTTGGGGTCACTGACATCCCCAGTGATACCAATACAGTGATCAGTGCAAAAAAAAAACACTGACACTGTACTAATGGCACTGGGGAGGAAGGGGTTAACTTTATTATTCAGTGAAAGGGTTAACTGTGTGAGGGGAGTGTTTTACTAGGGGACGGGGGTGTGTACTGCATGGAGACACACTGATCCGGACAGATAAACTCTTCTGTCCCGATCAGCATGTCAGGAGCTGTCAGGAAACTGACAGAGAGCAGAGCTACTGCAGCCCTGCTCTCTGTCAGTGATTGCCGCTAATCGCCGGGACACAGCCAGTAACGATCAGCTGTGACCCGACGACTGACATCCGCGGCCATGATCGGCGGGACAGGTAGGGCGGAGGCGCGCCTTGTGCGCGCCTTGTGCGCGCCCCCTACTTGTTTTGAAAACACACGTTTTAAAACATGGTTTTGCCCAGCCGTGCCGCCCTGCCGCCGTATTTCTACAGTGGCTGGGTGGCATGTGGTTAAGGTGTCAGCATACCAAGACATTTTGGAACATGGTTTTGCCCAGCCGTGCCACCCTGCCGCCGTATTTCTACAGTGGCTGGGTGGCATGTGGTTAAGGTGTCAGCATATCAAGACATTTTGGACAATTTCATGCTCCCAACTTTGTGGGAACATTTTGGGGATGGCCCCTTCCTGTTCCAACATGACTGCACACCAGTGCACAAAGCAAGGTCCATAAAGACATGGATGAGCAAGTTTGGGGTGGAGGAACTTGACTGGCCTGCACAGAGTCCTGACCTCAACCTGATAGAACACTTTTGAGATGAATTAGAGTGGAGACTGTGAGCCTGGCCTATTTGTCCAACATCCGTGCCTGACCTCACAAATGTGCTTCTGGAAGAATGGTCAAACATTCCCATAGACACACACCTAAACCTTCTGGACAGCTTTCCCAGGAGAGATGAAGCTGTTATAGCTGCAAAGGGTGGGCCAACTCAATGTTGAACTCTACAGACTAAGACTGCCATTAAAGTTCATGTGCGTGTAAAGGCAGGTGTCCCAATACTCTTGGCAATATAGTGTATATACATATACACAGTATATACACTGCTCAAAAACATTAAAGGAACTCTTTTTAATCAGAGTATAGCATCAACTCAATTAAACTCCTGGGATATTTATCTGGTCAGTTAAGTAGCAGAGGGGGTTGTTAATCAGTTTCAGCTGCTTTGCTTTTAATAAAATTAACAACAGGTGCAGTAGATGGGCAACAATGAGACGACCCCCAAAACAGTTTTACAGGTGGAGGCTACTGACATTTTTTTCCCTACTCATCTTTTCTGACTGTGTTTCACTATTTTTGCATTTGGTTAGGGTCAGTGTAACTACTGGTAGCATGAGGCGATACCTGGACCCTACAGAGGTTGCACAGGAAGTCCAAATTCTCCAGGATAGCACATCAATATTTTCCATTGCCTGAAGGTTTTCTGTGTCTCCCAGCACAGTCTCAAGAGCATGGAGGAGATACCAGGAGACAAGCAGTTAATCTAGGAGAGCTGGACAGGGCCGTAGAAGGTCATTAACCCATCAACAGGACTGGAATCTGCTCCTTTGTGCAAGGAAGAAGAGGATGATCACTGCCAGAGCCCTACAAAATAATCTCCAGCAGACCACTGGTGTGAATGTCTTTGTGCAAACAATCAGAAACAGACTTCATGAGGGTGGCCTGAGGGCCCTATTTCCTCTAGTGGGCCCAGCTCACTGCCCGGCACCATAGAGCGCGATTGGCATTTGCCTTTGAACACCAGAATTGGCAGGTCCACCACTGGCTCTCTGTGCTTTTCACAGATGGGAGCAGGTATGTCTTGAGCATATGTGACAAACGTGAAAGGGTCTGGAGAAGCCATTGAAAATGTTATGCTGCCTGTAACAACGTTCAGCATGACCGTTTTGGTGGTGGGTCAGTGATGATTTGGGGAGGCATACCCATTGAGGGATGCACAGACCTCTACAGGCTAGACAATGACACCCTGACTGCCGTTAGGTATCAGGATGAAATCCTTGGACCCATTGTCAGACCCTACACTGGTGCAGTATGTACTGCGTTCCTCCTGGTGCATGGCAATACCCTGCCTCATGTGGTGAGAGTATGCAGGCAGTTCCTGGAGGATGAAGGAATTGATACCATTGAACGCCCCCATGCTTACCTGACCTAAATTCAATAGAACACCTCTGGGATATCATGTTTCGGTACATCTGACGCTGCCAGGTTGGACCTTAGACTGTCCAGGAGCTCAGTGATGCCCTGGTCCAAATCTGGAAAGAAATACCCCAGGACATCATCTGTCATCTCATTAGGAGCATTCCCCAACATTGTAAGGCATGCATACAAGCATGTGGGCACCATATAAACTTCCAGTTTGAGTTGCTGCAATGAAATTTCAGCAAAATGGACTAGCCTACTTCATAATTTTTTCACTTTGGTTTTCGGGGTGTGTTTGAATTCAGTCCCCTGTAGGTTGATCATTTTCATTTCCATCAAATGATGAGTCATCCTTACATTCCTAACACATTACCCAGTCCATATCAGTATAGGTATCGAGCATTATATTTTTCCCCTTTGAGATCTGATGTGTTTCCAAAATGTTCCTTCTAATTATGAGCAGTGTATATATATATATGTGTGTGTGTATATATATATATATTTATTATTGGCATGGGGTAGTTAGCTAGTAGCTAGTAGTCATCAGAAATACATATTCTGGAAAATGCTGAGCCACCTGGCTCATACATAAACTCACTCAGCTTCAATTGCAGTTCATGCTGCTCTTCTTACCAGTCTCTCTAACTGTGTTGTCTAGCTCTCCTGGGTGCTTGGCTCTCTAGTCACAGCACCCTGCTGTACGGCCCACGTCTGGCCTTAGGGTTGGGTTCTCCTGACACCCAGATAGGAGCCGACCTGACTCATGGAACTGAGACCTCTGTCTCTTGGCTTCCGGCTGGGGCCTCCAACCCATTAATGAGACCTTTCGTCACCCCCACTGGGAGTAGTCTCCAAACTGGGAGCTCAGAGCTATTCTCAGACCTAAAGATATAACAACCCGGAACACCTGTATACCCCTGATTGCAGGTGTCTAGCAAAACCCAGACACAGGATTGAATGCTCAGATACATAGCTGCAGAATCCAGAGAAAGCCAAATCTACAGCTTTCTCTGCCCAGAAACACTAGTATGGAAAGTCACATTCATCCTAAATGGAAACCTGTGTCACAGTGGCATTGACAGAGTATCGTCCTGTCAATATATATATATATATAGTGCAGTAATAAAATATTCAGAACATCTTCACTCTTCAATTTTGTTATGTATGTCACAGCCTGATACTACAGTTCTTTAAATTCATATTTTTTCTCACTAATCTACACTCAGTACTCCATACATCACAAATTAAAAACAGAATTTTAGAAATGTTTGCAAATTTATGAGAAACAAAAAACTGAAATATCACATTGGCATACATTTTCAGACTCTATGCAACAACACTTGCAATTTAGCTCAGTTACCTCCCATTTCCCTTGATCACTGCGTAGATGTTTCTATACCTTGATTGGAATCCACCTGTAGTAAATTAAATTGATTGATTTTTTTTTTTAAAGCAATCCACTGAGCTGGCCAGAACCAACTCTTGAGGAAGTCTATTTCACATTTTCACAGCTCTCATTGTGAAGAAACTTTTCCGTATTTGGAGATTAAATTTATTTTCCTCCAGACGTAAAGAGTGCCCCCTTGTCCTCTGTGATGACCTCAGGGTGAATAGCTCTACACCGAGTTCACTATATGAACCACTGATGTATTTATACATGTTGATCATATCCCCCCTTAATCTCCTCTTCTCAAGAGAGAATAAATTCAGTTCCTCTAATCTTTCCTCATAGCTGAGCTCCTCCATGCCTCTTATCAGTTTGGTTGCCCTTCTCTGTACTTTCTCCAGTTCCCCAATGTTCTTTTTGTGAAGTGATGCCCAAAACTGAACTGCATATTCCAGATGAGGTGTTAATAATGATTTGTACAGGGGTAATATGATATTTTTCTTTCTGGAATCTATACCTCTTTTAATAATAGACAGGATTTTGCTCGTGGAACACCGATCAGTGGAAAGACCAGATGACTTTGGCTCTGCCATGTGATCAGCTGTGTCCAATCACAGCTGATCGCATGTATATAAGGAAATGCTGGTTATCGGCATTTCTTTCCTCATGAGCTGTCACGCTGACATCTCATGAGGAGAGGAGAACCGGTAATCGGCATTCCTCAGAGGAGACATCTACACTGATCATCAGGACACTGATGATCAGTGCCCTAATGACCAGTGTAGCCCCATCAGTGCCACCTGTCAGTGTCCATCAATGCCACCTGTCATTGCCCATCAACGTCACCTGTCAGTGCCCATCAGTGCACATCAATGCCACATATCAGTGCCTACCAGTGCACATCAATGCCACATATCAGTGCCTATCTGAGCTGCCTTTCAGTGCCAACTATCAGTGCCAGTCAGTGCCACCTATCAGTGCCAGTCAGTGCTGCCTATCAGTGCCCATCAGTTCCACCTAACAGTTCCAGTCAGTGCCACTTAACAGAGCCAGTCAGTGCCGCCTATCAGTGCCAGTCAGTGCCTCCTATCAGTGCCAGTCAGTGCTGCCTATCAGTGCCACCTATCAATGCCATATATGAGCAATGTCTTTCAGTGCCCATCAGTGATGTATGTGAATGCCCACCAGACATTACTGATGTCAGTGCCCATCAGTGCCACCTACCAGTGCCTCCTCATCAGTGCCCATCAGTGCCGCCTATCAGTGCCCATCACTGCAGCCTCATTAGCGCACATAAGTGAAGGATTTTTGGTTTGTTTATCAAAAAATAAAAGCCCAGTGGTGATTAAATACCACCAAAAGAAAGCTCTATCTGTCTCAAAAAATGATAAAAATTTCATATGGGTACAGTGTTGCATGACCGCGCAATTGTCATTCAAAGTGCAACAGCACTGAAAGCTGAAAATTGGCCTGGGCAGGAAGGGGGTGAAAGTGCCCAGTATGCAAGTGGTTAAACCTCATTTGCTACATAGTTGGCCAATTAAACAGTGCATTGAGGTTGGCTTGTAAGTTGAAGACATCCTGTAAGGACATTATTCTACTGCACAGACCCTATATCATTTATAAATATATTAAAAAGTAAGGGTCCCAACACTGAACCTTGGGGTACACCACTGACAACCTTAGACCATTCAGAGTATGAAGCATTAACCACTACTCTCTGAATACGATCTTTTAGCCAGTTTTCTACCCATTTACATACTGATTTTTCCAAGCCCGTAGACTTTACCTTACACATTAGCAGTGTGTCCAAGGTTTTGCTCACCTCCTCATAAAAAGAAATTAGATTTGTTTGACAACTTCTAGCAAGAACTCATCTATGTGGTCTTTTATTAAACTCTCCAGTATCTTCCCAACTATAGAAGTTAAACTAACAGGTCTATAATTACTTAGTAAAGATTTTGACCCCTTTAGAATATTGGCACCACATTGGCCTTACCAATCCAGTGGTACTATGCCAGTCATTAAAGAATCCCTAAAAATTAGAAGCAATGGTGTTGAAATGACAGAACTCAATTCCTTAAGGACCCATGGGTGTATGCCATCCAGTCTGGGTGCTTTATTCACCTTTATTCTGTCCAAATATTTTTGGACCATATCAAATGTGAGCCAGTGTAGATCATCTGGAGCTGTGTCAATACCATGCCCATTATGGACAAGAGCTCCCCCATGCTCCTTTGTATACACAGAGCTGAAGAAAGTATTTAATAAATGTGCCTTCTCTTTGTCCCCAGTCACCCAGTCTAGATTATTTTATAAAGGGCCGACATGCTCAGACCGGACCAAACAGAAGAGCTCCTAGTGGAGGTCTCTCCCAGCCTGTCAGTGGCAATGCAATCTGAGCCATGCAGTTGCAGCTCAGACCACATTTACACCTAATTTTGTAAAAGGTAAATCTGTCAAGATGTACTAATATGTGGTGTATACTAGCTACAGGAAATCACTGTAGTAGCAGTATTTACTACAGTGATTTTCAGCTTCTGGGGGAATCAGTCAAGTATAGTATTTACATAGTTACATTACAATATCCATACCTGGAATTTATCTTTAAGATACTCCGGTCAAACAAAAAATAAAAAAATAGTACAATAGAAAAGTCTGAGAAGAGTCAGCAGTTGCTTGAATCAACATACTGAAGCAAGAAGATCATCACGACAACTAGTATTTTCAAAAGAAGAGGTCAGCAATTGTAGACTTCATGCTTCTCTTACAACAGGTTTCCCATTTACACCTTCCAGATCCGGTGCAGTGTGTTACTGCGTTAGGGCAATCCTTTCATTGGAATACCAATGAACAACAACATACCGGGAAACATACTTGCACTATCTTCCCTGATGCAGCGCACCTCAACACACATGCATTACCCTTTGTTGTGGGGGGAGCAACACAGGTGCATCAGAGGTGCATTCCTTTAATACACTGATCTTTTCAAAATGAATGGCACTACAATGCATTAATAGGTGCATGATGTGATATCATGTCACCACAGAAGCCAGCCTAAGGGGTTAAAGTTAAAGGTTGACGAGACTTATTTCATTATTTTGGGTGACTTGACCCTTTAAATGATTATATTGTATAATAACATGTAACTGTGTATAGTAATGTAAGTATGTAACAGGTACAATGACTGGCTTATATGGCATCAAACAGTATCTGTGTGACATAAATGAACTCCCGCTATTTGGAAAACTAACAGATAAGTATAAATATGTGCACTGCGAACTTAAAATAAATGCACTGTATATGAGATGGAAAAACTGGGCTTGATGACATACACTTTTTAAGTGATTAAATGAAATATAAAAAACATTTTAACTAAATAGTATGCAAATATTTGAAGTACCTTTAACATCCCGCAATGCACATATTTATACTTATCTGGATGTAGCTGGGATGTGTTACCTACTCTAGGAACAAGTAATTGATACAAGTCCATATACAGTATACTCTGCAAATCTATTTGGAAAGCTACAAACATTACATTTTTACATCATATTTGTACATCATATGTAGGGATGATAAAAATATTAGGCTCAGTTCACAAAAGCCTAACATATGTCGCATTTTCTTTACTGTGTGTTTTTTTTACCATTTATTATGATCAAAATTGATCTTTCAATTTGCTAAATGCATTGCAGTATAGATCAGATGATTCTAACACACACATTATCGAGAGTATTTTGACTGTGAAAGTCATTTTATAATGTACAGGTTATCTGTCTTTAAAGGCCAACTTAAAATCTATTAAGTATAGAAAAAGGAACACTTTGAGGTTGTTATAGAAAAATTGTTTGTGAGTTAAAATAATCATTCATGCATTTGAGTGATTTGCTAATATTGGGCTACATTAAAAAAAACGAAAAAGTAAGTGTTTATATGACCAAAACTTATTTTCTCATTTTGGATAGTGTAGGGAAGGGTTTAAATCCTCATCAAGTTATATTTTTCTGTCCTGTTGAGATTTTCTATCACTTCCTATCCTGTAGGCACAACAGAAATTGAAGGGAACTCTTCTAGGAATTTTCAGCTTTGTCTGTTGTCACCAGAACATTTGTCCCACTTGTACAATTTACTCTCACTTGTTGCTCTTATGAAAACTCTAAGTCTGTACTCACACTCGGGATGGTTTAGGTGAACTGTGCCCGTGTTCGATTCTCCCTCCTACCCACTCCCCCCGCTGGTCTGTACTCAAATTGGTTTGTAAGGAAGCGTGTCTGGAAACACTTGCAAGTGTTTTCGGGTACATATCCCTGCTAACCAGACCAGAGACACTATTGTACATTCACTCTACAGCAAACCATACCAGATCACAAGTGAATTGAGCTTGACACCACCTGTTCCAAGTGGTCCCATGCGCAGTTCAATTACCCGGTCCCAGATGCAGGTGGGAGTACTCACTCTACACAAATGAACCGGCCCAAGGGGCTGAACCATTTTCGGGACCCGTTAAAAGTGTTTGTGTGAGTATAGCCTAAAATGTAGGATTTCCTCTTACTTTCCTCATACTGCTAGCAGTGGTTACCAGTAAAGATAGAAGAGGACACAGACTACAATAAATACTTTGCAGAGGTATAACTCTTCCTTAGTCTACACAAAATGTAAAAATAAATAAATAAAATAAAAAAATACTACGTGCAATATGAGCATGAACATGTCTGATGAATCCGTAGGACTTTGCAAGAGGAAACCTGGAGGTGAATGAGTTATTCGAACACTGTGTAGTGCTAGTTCGAACCATTGGGCTGTACAGACAGAGAGTGGAGGTGGACAGCATTCCCTGGCCCTATAGATTGTCTGATCATTTCCTACTGAAGTTCCTGGGACTTCTGTATAGAGCTGGCATTCAAGGAACTGTCATGCACTGGACTTCACATCTGTGATGTCACTTCCGCTGAATGAAGTGCATACTCAGGGTCATCTAAGAAGTGGAGCATAGAGGAAGTGTTCAATGCTGTTTTAGAGAGGCGATATTTCTAGTTCCAGAGAGGGCACCTTTAAATGTGAGTGCGCACTTTGTATGTATCTTTTAGATGTATTCATAAAGGTTAATAAACTATTTCTGGTTTTGTTTTAGATTGTATTCCCTGATGGTGGAGGAGGAAGCTTGAAGAGTATATGGGGGCTGTATATCCGGTGGATGTGGCATTGGCAGAGAGGAGTGGGCAAACCCTGGCTAATAGACATATGTGTTTTGTTTTAGCTTCAATTCATTTTTCATACTAAAATGTAATTTCTAAAGATTCAGATGTATACGAATCTCCAATTAGACATAGCAACAAATTTCAATGTATCCGAAACAAAAGTTTTAGTGAAATTAACAATTGTATTACTTTCATGTGGATGACATTACATGATGCAATAGTAGTTTGGGTCCATGGAGAAAAATTTATTCAATTTTCAAATTTGTTTGACAATTCAGATTCGGATAATGAATGGATCAGAATTGTGTTCCAATTGTTACTTTGGATGCACATGACACCAGTCGATATTGTTCAATCAGGTCATGTCATTTCTCTTGGTGGATTGGACTAGCGTCTGAAAATATTGAATCCTTCCAATTCAAATCCGGCCGATTCAATAATATATCAAATATATATCAATCTTCTGGAACAACTGAACAATTTTCTGAATCTATCTTGACCAACAGATATACGACACAAATGCTGAAGATTCAAAATAAATCATGTAAATGAATCGGGTCAACATAACGAATATGAAGAAACAAAATTCTTCAATGAATGATTGCATCCAAATCGAAACAAAACAAACATTTCTGGCGTGCACATGTATACTGGCTAATACAGCTTGAGAGGCTGGTATTGACCTACTTATTAATTTAAGGGAGGGCATTACAGAGTGGGGGTTGTTGGTAGCAGCACTGAGGAGGACAAGGTACACTGTAGATTAAAGTCAGTATTGTGATTGGTGGACACAATACTGTACATTTTTTCCTCATCATTGTGACACTTGGACTTTTTTGAGGACAATTGTTACCTGCACTTTGTTTGGCTTCATGATCACATATGCATAGTATTTTTTATATGATCACGTTATGCACAATGATTTGCAAAATGTAACTACTGTAGTTATACACAATAAGGTTTTACTGCAAAATGTATATTGCTTTTAGCACATATAGTAATTCACACATAATCAGATTTTGTTTCACATTGATAGTTTTTGTTTAGCTCTGCACTTTTTTGTATATACAGTATGTTCATACACTAGTACCCTGAGGGGAAACA